TTTGACAAGAATCACAAATGATTCTTCTCAAAGTTGCTCAGTGAACAACAAACACTTGTTATTGTTTATAATTCAAGTGAATGTTGTACACAAAGACAACAATTGTCTATCAATTGTTGTCTTTGATTCAACTTTGACAAGAATCACAAATGATTCTTCTCAAAGTTGCTCAGTGAACAACAAACACTTGTTATTGTTTATAATTCAAGTGAATGTTGTACACAAAGACAACAATTGTCTATCAATTGTTGTCTTTGATTCAACTTTGACAAGAATCACAAATGATTCTTCTCAAAGTTGCTCAGTGAACAACAAACACTTGTTATTGTTTATAATTCAAGTGAATGTTGTACACAAAGACAACAATTGTCTATCAATTGTTGTCTTTGATTCAACTTTGACAAGAATCACAAATGATTCTTCTCAAAGTTGCTCAGTGAACAACAAACACTTGTTATTGTTTATAATTCAAGTGAATGTTGTACACAAAGACAACAATTGTCTATCAATTGTTGTCTTTGATTCAACTTTGACAAGAATCACAAATGATTCTTCTCAAAGTTGCTCAGTGAACAACACCAATTAATTCTTTTTGATATTACACATTAAGCTAACCAACCACACCAGTCATTTTATTTATATAGCTTTTATCCGTAACATTTTTAAAGGATTTCAAATAATTTACTTTTTCAAATATTTACTAGTTAATATCTCAATCAATTTATCCTCTTATTTATATTTTTAAAAATTTTCATCTCCATCACCATTCAATTTGGAATCTCATTTTTAAAATATCTTAATATAATCAGAATTTTATTAGTAGGTTAAAATATTTGCGAATATTAATTATTAGGATCAAAGCTTTCATACGATTACATTAATTTTTTTAATCGAAATTCTATTTCATTACTACTCAATTTTAAATCATAGCAGCATTAATAGCTCATCTACTTATATTCCATCATAATGTTGCATGCTAAGTTCGGTCAACGATAGAAATTGAGTGGAAATTAATCGTCGAGGAAGTACGATTATGTAAAGTAAAAAATGTTGTGGGATTTTTAATATTATATATATTTTATAATAAAAATTTTTTGAGTCATTTTAAGAAGCACATATAATTTTTTGAATTTAAAAATTAAAGTAGTGTCAAACGAATTTATCACTTAATTTAATACTCAGATTTCTTAAAATTAAAGAAAAAAAGGTTTTCTGAGAACTTTTGAGAATGGTTTTCAAATTCCATTATTGAAAATATATAGGTATTGTATGAAATTCAAACTCTATATTTATTAAAATTTAAATTTTTAATAAAATAACTTTTCAGAGGAATATGATTTTGAATGGTTGATTAATAAGTATAAAAATGTCTACGATTTTAAGGAGGGAATTGTTCCTTATGAGGTATACATCATAACTATATACCTCATAAGGAACAATTCCCTCTTGATAGCTGGGAAACTTTCTCTGAATAACTTATCATTTGGAGAAAGTTTCCCAGCTATCTATTAGAAACTAAAGGCTGTGAGGCACTAATATATAATCAGTGCCTCATAGCCTTTAGTTTGTTATTAAAAACGAGAAAACTTGTTCGAAATGATAAACAATTTCGAACAAGTTTTCTCGTTTTAAGGAGGGAATTGTTCCTTATGAGGTATACATCATAACTATATACCTCATAAGGAACAATTCCCTCTTGATATCCTGGATATTTTTGAATATATTTTTTTAATTAAAGTTCTCAAAAGTATTATCAAAAGTGATTTTTTAAAAATATCTCCAATTAATTAACTAATTAAAAGTATTATATTTTTAAAATTAAATAGTTTTTCAATTTTTTTGAAGGAATTGAGATACTTCCCACGACAATAAAATTGAGAGGTTTACATTATGACTGATCTTAGCATGCAACAATAATGTTATTTTATTCAATTTTTATATATCAAATTTCTGTCGCAAAATCTTTAAAATTGTTATATTTTCTTACAACACGGTTAATATAGTATTCTCCTTAACTTGTTTAAATGCAATTTTGCAATATTTGGAAATGATCAAAATATCCTAATGTAAACGTTTGCTCTTAGAATTCAGTGTCATAGTCGATTGTTTCTAACAAATTAATCTTTTTTGCATTGATTTTCGAAGTATTGCATTTTCATTACGGCCAAATCTGCTCTCTTTCATTAGATTGATAGCTCACAATAGTTCTTGTAATCAGAGAGGAAATATCTTACGAAATATACCTCTAAATTTCACTTTATAGATAAATGTTATATTTTTCCGTTACTCGATTATTGTCCAATAAAACCACAATCATATTAAACTTTGTCCAAAATAAACAATAAAGAATAGTTTTTAAGTTTCTTAAACGGTTTATGAAGGTTCATATTTAATCGATTTTTTTATTTTCAATTCATGTATCTATAGTTCGTTAGTCTATCATCCCTTCATAAATTATCTGCAAAGAATTTTGTAGAATCTCAACTCTGTGAGGAACTACAATAAATTGAAAAGTCATTTTGTGATATCAAAATCCAATATATTATTCTTTCTAATACATATTAATAATATCTTGAGATGTAGTACACTATATATATACTTTCAAAAATCTTATATGTTTATTAGTTATTGAGATAGAAGCGATTTAATTCTTTGAAAATCGACGAAAAGTGCCATATTCATAAAATTATAGGGTATTTGTGTTTTTATTAAATCTAGATTATTAATATTCAAAAAAAATTAGATAATACATTAAAAGAATAATATTTACTCAATAACGAGTTAGTTAGCTAATTTTAGATAGGATAAAATATAAGTATTTCGGATAATGAAAAATAAAGTATCGTATTAAACTAGATTTTTCTTGTATAGTTATATTTAGTTTTTCAATGGATATGTAATTAATAACTCCAAATGTTGTATTATCCGATATTGCATTTGTACCTTCCATGTGAACATAAACCGACTTTTCACCAAAAAATTGTTTACATGATTCTGATAAAATCGTTTTACTAGATATATACAAATGACTAATATTGGGAAATGCATTTTGAAAAGAAGTTTCAATATTAAACTTTCCATGTATAAAAATATTCATTGGTTCACTAATTAACTCAAAAAGATTGTTCCCAATTTTGATATTATTGTAGTTGCCTAGGAAAGTTATATTTTTTAACGCAGACTTAAAAAAGGCTTGATCGCCTAAATATTTGATTTTTCCTGGTATTGTGATGCTTGTTAATAAATAACAGTATTGAAATGCATTATTTCCAATTGATATTACATTTTCTGGAATTGAAATGCTCGATAATAAATAACATCCGGAAAATACATATGTATCTATACTTATAAGACTTTTTGGAAGTAAAACTTTTACTATAGTATTGCAGCAATCAAACGTGCTTCCTTTTATTTCAGTTATTTTATCAGGAATGATAATGCTTGTTAATAATGTACAATCTGAAAAAGCATTCATCCCAATGGCTAGAATATCATTATGAAGTTGAATAGATGTAATTTTTGAATAATAAAAGCAATAATCAGAAATATTTGTTACATAGCTAGGTACAATATAAGAACCTGAATAAGAAGGAAGAACTCTATATAAAGTTGAGTTTTCTATTCCTGCGAACAGAGTATCAGAAAATAGCTCAAAATTTGGATTTTCTGGGTCAACGGTTATATTTGTTAATAAACAAAAAGCAAAAGCTCTTGAATCTATATATTTTAGATATTTTGGAATATAGATGGAAGAAATCCGTGTCTTATCAAAACAATCGAGTCCTATTCTTTCTAACTTTGAATTTACTGAAATATTAATAGTTTTTAGACCGCAATGATCGAATGCCATAGAAGAAATATTCACTACAGAATCCGGTATTTGTATTGATTCAAGTTTGGAATCGGAACTAAAGCAATAAATTCCTATACTTGAAATGTTTGGGGGGAGTATTACAATTTTCAAGTTTCCACAGCCAGCAAAAACATCTAATTCAAGTAATGTAAGCCTTTTACATTCACTGAGATTAGCGGATTCGAGACTTGAGCCAGAAAAACTAGATCTGCCAATACTAACAATTTCGCTATTTTCTTCAAAGTTAAGCGTTGTAATTGTAGGGATGCGTTAAACACGCCATTTGACCGGGCGTACATTTTTTTTGTTCGCCCAAAAATTTCGCCATTTGAGAAATTCAAAAATTAAAAATAAAATTTTAATCTTGATTTTTTTATTTTCGTGATTTTTTTGAAACTTACATAAGCGATGAAATACTTTTTTTAAGTAATCGTTTATTATATATAAATATATCTTAATAAATTTAATTCCTTAAGGTAGAGCGTGTTCAAATTTAAAATCTCATACAATATTTTCTTAATGGCGTATTTTTCTGAGGTCGCCCAAATAAAGGTGAATTCAAAATTGAGAACTCCAAGGCGTATGGCGAGTATTCAAAAAGTACGCCACTTACAAAATATTGAATGTGGATTATCAATTTTTTGGCGTGTTCAATTTCAAATTTTGATATTTATGTTTATTTTATTCAGTATAATGCTAAGAATTAAAATATAAAATTCATAGAATTTTTTCTTTGAAAATATTTTACATTTTTATTAGACCACTCCTAGACTAGTCATCAGGTTATCCTCAGATCATCCTCAGACTACTCCTTATCAGATTACTCATCATCCTCAGACTACTCCTTAGACCCCTCCTCATCAGACTACTCCTCAGATCTTCCTCATAAGACTCCTCCTCAGATCTTCCTCCTGAGACTACTCTTCAGACTACTCCTTAGAGTCCTCCTCATCAGACTAGTCCTGAGACTAGTCCTCAGACTACTCCTGAAACTACTCCTCAGATTATCCGCAGACTCCTCCTCAGATTATCCTCAAACTACTCCTCAGTCTAATCCTCAGACTCCTCCTCAGATTATCCTCAAACTACTCCTCAGTCTAATCCTCAGACTCCTCCTCAGTCTAATCCTCAGACTCCTCCTCAGATTATGCTCAGATTATCCTCAAACTCCTCAGATTATCCTCAGACTACTCCTCAAACTCCTCAGTCTAATCCTCAGACTCCTCCTCAGATTATCCTCAAACTCCTCAGACTCCTCCTCAGATTATCCTCAAACTCCTCAGATTATCCTCAAGCTCCTCAGACTACTCCTCGGTCTAATCCTCAAACTCCTCCTCAGATTATCCTCAGACTCCTCCTAAGATTATCCTCAGACTCCTCCTAAGATTATCCTCAGACTCCTCCTCAGATTATCCTCAGACTCCTCAGACTACTCCTCAAACTCCTCAGATTATCATCAAACTCCTCAAACTACTCCTCGGTCTAATCCTCAGACTCCTCCTCAGATTATCCTCAGATTATCACTTTACATATATATATCGATAACTAAATAATTACTTATTATACTTTCTTTATTTTTTTTTAATTTTAAAATAATATTAATATATCTTTCTACGTTTAATGATGAAAAGAGAAAGAGGAGTAAAAAGAGGAAAGAGAAAAGAAAGAGAGAGAGAGAAAAAAAAAGAGAAAGAAAGAAAAAAAAAGGACGGCGATAATTTTGTATTGTTTTGTTATTCGGCCGAATGGCGGCTACTTCGTACCCGCCATTCGGCCCCAAAAATGGCGTATTATTATATTTTTAAACGGTCATGGCGTAAAACCGTTGCATCCCTATTTGGAGATTTTTCGAAAATTTTAATATGATAGATACGAGTTATTTTATGTATTCTATTGGAGTATCTGTTTATTTTTGAATTTTGATCAAGATTGAAAAATGAGAAAAATTCGAAATATAAGAAATCGATTTTAAAGAAGAAAAACAGACACTTTATTGTGCAACAAAGCATATAGTATTATAAAAATGAAAAACTATTTTCTCATAAGAAGTAAAAATTAACGTATATTTGCAGTGAGTAGGCATGCATCGAGCCTACTCACAACAAAAACTTTTTATTCGTTCTCTGGCCGACAAAGAGCTAGAGAACCGCATCCGCATTAACTTATGCTGAAGTTATCTGGATTTCCTCTCTCATTTGTGTTGCATGCTAAGATCAGTCATAATGTAAACCTCTCAATTTTATTGTCGTGGGAAGTATCTCAATTCCTTCAAAAAAATTGAAAAACTATTTAATTTTAAAAATATAATACTTTTAATTAGTTAATTAATTGGAGATATTTTTAAAAAATCACTTTTGATAATACTTTTGAGAACTTTAATTAAAAAAATATATTCAAAAATATCCAGGATATCAAGAGGGAATTGTTCCTTATGAGGTATATAGTTATGATGTATACCTCATAAGGAACAATTCCCTCCTTAAAACGAGAAAACTTGTTCGAAATTGTTTATCATTTCGAACAAGTTTTCTCGTTTTTAATAACAAACTAAAGGCTATGAGGCACTGATTATATATTAGTGCCTCACAGCCTTTAGTTTCTAATAGATAGCTGGGAAACTTTCTCAGTAGTATATATGACGGGTTGTGTGACTTTTTTTGTAAACGTAAGAATTCATACAATATTGAACGATTTTGAGTACAGTATACATTGTGCGTCGCCTGTAGCCTACAGCTACAGTCACCGACACAATGAAAAAAGTGACAGAAAACTGACACCATACGGGCGCGCATATGTACGCATATATGTGTAAAAATAAACGTTCGTATGTAAACTAACCTTTATTCACTAGCAGGGGCTGATAAATCATAATCGTCGAGAAGTACGATAGGTGGTCCCACCTGTTTAATCTGTATGGAGAGGCAAACGTGACGTAAGAAGCATAACACTGGTTTCTCAGTATATTTAATAGACTCTGCTGTTGGCTTAACTGTAAGCTTATAAAAGAAGCAGATCACGGAGGCAAAGAAACGCTTACATCAACTCCTTGATGAACAATAAGCTTACTTAAGACTAAACAATTAATTATACTAACTTTTATACTTTTTCTCTTTTCCTAAGTTGATCGTGATCACAAAGATCGTGATCTGAGTGACAATGAACTATAAGTTATATGAGGATATATGTGAGTAATGTGAGTATAAAAAAAGAGTTATAGTAGTAAAATTAGGTGTTTATTCGTGGTTTAGAGGAGGGATCAGAAGTCAGTGGCTAAGTTCCTTATGGCGCGCTTTAATTCATGGTAGGATGTGTCAGCCTTAAGGAACCTTTCATGCCAGCTGTCTGACTCATGTCCCACACGGTTGAGACGAGATCGAAGATCGCAGATCTCGTTGGCATAAGAGTCAACTTTATACTCAAGCTGGCTGATGTAGAGCTCTTTACCTTTCGCTTCCTCTACTTTTTCAGCCAGCTTGAGCTTTAGTTCCTCGAGAGCTACGTTTGACTCCTCCAGCTGCTTCAAATACTTGTGGCTGGTCTTGATTAAACGTAGCTCTCGAGGAGTAGCTCGTGGACCCGTTTTCTTTGCCGTTTGCTTGTGATCGAGATCTGGGATCTTGATCTCGGTCTTCGGACTCTCGCCACCCATCAATATTTCCTCGTCGCCAGAGGACTGTTCTTCAGTCACCTCTGGCTTCTGGATGGCAAGAGCCTTAGCAGGAGCTTTGTTGTTCGCTTCCATTAAAATGTAAACTTTACGTGTCAAAAAAATTCTGTCACGTAAACTATTTATGTTGAGATTGAGTACCAGACTCTAATATAAGTTCAACCATTATATTAGAGTCTTTAGGAATTTCATATGGTTCTTTTACATAATATTCCTTTTTTTGACCATCAGTTGATTCTTCAACTCTTTTGAATGAAAAGCGCTTATAAAACTCAAACACGAGTGCATCTTTATAACCAGTGATATCGTAAAATTTTGGTGGCACAAGCTGTTCATTCACATTACATATAAATTGTTTGTTATCATGAGCAATATTACTCAACGTTACTAAAGGCTCAAGGAGAGGATTTATTCTTATCTGATAACCGACAAATTTATATGTTGGTTTGCCCTTTCGCTCAAGGATAAACCTGATATTCGCTATAGTTATGAAAAGCTCATCAAAGTACTTATATGTTTTTTTATCTTTATCATTTTCGTCAGTGAAATCTGCTATGGTAAAACTATAATATACATGCATTCGCGAGATATATTTTTTTTCCCATAAGTCTAAAAATTTTGCTTTCGATGGAATTACTTTTTGCGTGAATGTTCTACCATGGTCATCTTCCCAAACAAGCTCTGGTTTTCTTGATGTTGTGTCTGTTTCAGTGGTTTCTAATAACGCAGTGATGAAATCCAACACATCTCCTAGGGACATGTCATATTTATAATTCAAGGCATTTTTTTCTATACTACTGTATGAAGGTAATGTTATGATTGGTGATGTACCTTTTCTTAATACATTCAATTTATTTTCATTTGAATCATAGTAACAATCAACAAATTCTCTACTTGCCTCAGTCATTTTTTCCATAAGACCTTCATTCAACTCCTGTGTAGTCATGTTGGGTTTTATGTAATATCTCATGTCAAACCTTTTTTTCACTGATTTTGATGAATCTGTCATTTCTAATGGAATAGCAAGAAACTCAAAGTCTGGATGCTCAAGACTTATCTTTCTTATCTCAAGAGCTTTTGACGCAGGATATTCAATGAAGTCTCTCGGTAATTTATATGAGACTGTATTACCACTTATCGTGCCATCATTCATAACATGTTCATAGTATAATCCATCATATTTAGACATTTTATATGTAACTAAAAGATGGAGAAAGTTATTAATCAAGTAGATAAGATTCTTCATGATGGAGCACGTAAGAATAGTAAAGAACTAAACAATGCACTCATTATGCCATTTTCTGATGATTATCCATTTTGTACTAATGGTGTTTATTTCTACTGCGGTAAGATGGGTTCAGGTAAGACATATGGTGTTATTCGTCATATAATGATAACAGACCGCTTCACTAATACTCCATATTATGACTCAATAGTTATCTCAGCAACATCAGGAACAATGGATAAAACAGCGAAGACATTTATGAGTCAAGTTAAAGCACCAGTACTGAAAAAGGATGATAAAGAACTTATGCCTTATTTAATGAAGAACGTTAAGATGAAAGCAAAGTATTACGCTATTGTTGAGTTCGTTCAAAGTAAGTTCGAAAAAATTTCAGAGGAGATGGAACACATCTTAACAAAGCATCAACTAAGGAAACCTGATGGAAAGTTTGAGTATAAGAAGATTGCAATATATGTTGTAAAGAAGTTGAACAAATATCCTTTCACAAAGTATCCCAGTAATTCTCTATTAGTGTTAGACGATTATGGTGGTCATGACTTATTGAATGACCCACGTTCACCATTAGCGAACTTCATCACTAAGGTCAGACATTATAACTATACTGTTGTCATCATGTGTCAAACATGGAGACATATATGTTTAAACATTAAGAGACTATGCACTGACTTCGTTATCTTTCAAGGTTATTCTATGAGAGACTTTCAGTCAATGATTGAACAGTCAGGAGCAACAGAAGATTGGGAAGAGTTATGGAACAAATACAAAGAGCTACCAACACCTCGTTCATATATGGAAGTTCATATAGTTGCAGGAAAGACGGACTTTAAAGAAGTTAAGCAACAAAAGATGACATTATTTTAAGAAGAAATAAATGGGTTTTGGCGATTATGTTAAAGCTGGATGGGGTATGGTGAAAAAAAATCCTGGTCTTGTAATAGGTGCTGGATTTAACATTGCTAACAAACTTTTCCCTCAAGTTGGTCAAGTCGGTGGTGTTATCGGTAGTCTTGGTGAAAGAATTGCAAAAACTACATTAGGTGAAGATAATGCATTAACGAAGAATCTTAAAGCATTCAATAAAGCTCTTGGTGGTGACTTCAGTAGAGACAAGCCTGTTGAAACACCTATAGTTCAACCTCAACAAACTATTGACAACAATAAGTATAACGCATACATTGGAGGAGCTATTTGGAACAATCATAAGCCATTAGTTCAGTCAGTACGTGTACTATCAGACATGCCATGGATTAATGCTATTAGTGGCACTATACGCAGATAATATATTTTTATGAGGTTTAAATGAGTGAACAAGAGAGGAAACTCATTGATGAACGAGTTAAGAAATGGGAGAATGAACGTCCGATAATTCGTACCATAATTAGCGATCAAAAGTTCAAGCAGCATACATTTGATTTTTTGCGCGATATATATAATGATCTTGCTTTTGATTACAATGCTAGGCAATACTTTG